TTTCTACAAAAATGACATGAAAAATTACTCCAATTAGAAATAAAAATAAAACAAACAAATTTTTTTCAATATTAATCAGAAATGACAAGCCGAATCTGAGTTGTTTTCTCCGCTGAATGCACCTTATGACGATTCAATCACAATATTTCCACTGTCGATATTTTTTATGAGTGCTATTTTAATAATTTTTTTACATATGATTCTTCTAATCAGTTTGGATATAAAAATATTAATAAAATTGTAAAAAAATCGATAACTCACGAAATATTTCATATTTTACTTTTACATATTGCAATAAACTATAAAATATTTCGTAAACTGTTTACTTATTAATAATCACATCATAATATTTTAATGCACAAAATAATGAAATAAATCAATTGAAATGAAGAAAATAATTGTTTTAAAGAAAAGTATATATGCACATATTTCAAATTGCATAATTATATTGTTTGTGATCATTTTTCTATGGTTGAGGAAATATCCACTTTTCTTATCAAAATGTTTTATTGTTTATATTGTGTGTACAATATAACTGTACATACATAAAAGGAATGGACCAATGCGATCCTTGATTTTAGTCAAATAGACCTGTAATCAAATAATATATTGTAATTAAAATAGAATTATATTCATTTTGAATAAGATGATTTATTTTATCAAATATTCTCATTTTTTAAATATTCATCAAATACATATTCTGTAGCTAATACATGCTATATTAATCATGGAATGTTTGTTATGCTACTACTTTTTAGAAATTTATATTACAAATTTGATATATAACTTACCAAAGCCCATATCATCATCGGACTCTTCCTCTGGTTCTTCTTTCTTCTTTTCTTCTTTGGCTGGAGCAGTTTCAGTGCTAACAGGCGCTGCAGCAGCTGGAGCTTTAAAATAAAAAGATAAAAATTTTATTAAAAATTTGTAATAATTAAAAGAACTCTTGGCAAAATAAATATTATTAATAATAAAAATTCATGTTGCAATATGATGAATACTCTAATAAAAATAAAAATTTTTCTATATAATGTTGTTAACAAAACTTTAAGATTACATCCTTCTTGATAAATCCATAAAGTTTGTTATCGATTTCTTTCACCTCTTTTGCTGACCAAGCTAGCAATTTATATACTCTAGATCGGTGGATGAAGAGGATAAAAAATTATAAATTTTCTATAGTAAATTTAAACACATTTTTCCAAATCTATTTTATATATATTATTATATAGAGCTTACCTAAATGTTTACTTAATCTTGCTATATTTTACGAAGAAGTTATAAAAAGTACATATATTGTAATAAAAATTTGCAAATAGTTTAGCAATAAAAAAGTAACATACCACCTGCTCCTGCAGGAGCAGCTCCAACACCAGATCCAATGTTAGTAATTAATTCCTTAACATTGATACCTTCCAAAGCTTTAGCAAATAACCCAGGCCAATATGATTCAACATTTACATTTGCTGCCTTCAAAATTGTTTGTATTTTTTCGCCCTGTGAAAATAATAAAGATGTAATAATTCTAGATAATTCAATATTTATTTCTATAGTTCTATAGTTATTTCTTATTCTATATAAAATCTGTTATACAAATTATTTTATAAAATTCATAATTAATAATTAAATTAACAATTAAGTTTTTTGTAATAATAGAATTATATAACAATATAAAATATTAAAATCATGAAATGTTTTGTTCTAATTATAACAATATATTTTTTAGAAGTTGAAATAAATAAAAGAATTAAAAAATAATCAACTTTTTGGCATTGATAAATTAATGCTTATACAATTTAAAAAATCAATTAAAAAGTGATTAAACAATTGTTTAATTGTTTTGTAAATTTTTAGTGAATTGGTAAATAACTATATAATGATCTTTGTACAGTATGTAACATATAGTAAATGTATGATGAAAATTGCTACAGATACTGTAAAAATTACATTTGTAATATGTACTTGACATAGATACATAACATAAATCACTAAAATTTAAGATTAGATTTTAATTTTTATGTATTATCATAAACAAACACGTGCGTAATTCAAGTTATTTGAGAGGTT